GGTGGTCAGGCTCACTGACTTGGTTGATGCATGTCATCGATTCCAATTGCGTTGATTGATGTTCATGATGTAAATCACTGGATTGTCTGGTCCAGATTTGATTATTTACAGACCGCCGTCATATAGGTGGAATATTGCTGAGTGCGGCGTAAAACAACAAACCAAAACATAAATTTGAAATTGATGTTAGTTACATAAGTATTAGTGACAAGATTCTTTCTGTTCAATCCGAAAATTACGGATATTTGTTTAGTTTTGGTCATTTGCATTCAACAGTTAGATCTATAACACACAATCATCAGATTATATTTTAAAACTGAAATTATTACACAGATTTTTCATCTGGTGTTAGGAAGAGGTCTAATTTGAAGCACCAGAAGTTGAGCCAATATTTCTTAGCTTGACTACAAAATATGAATATGTCATGTGTATCAACATAACAATGCACATGAGCAACTGATAAATATACTTGATGTTTTGACCTACATTAGGCCTCTCTAGATAATATTTTACTTACGATAAACAAAAACTGTAATACACATATTCCAAGAAAACTTTAGTTATGGATTTCCTTTTGAGTTTGATCATTGGATCCACATGTGTCCCATGTAATTTTTGTTTCGTGGATTTGGATACAATTTGCGCACAAGGTTTAAAATACAATTTGGGATCACTTTCCCGTTTTGTCCACACTAATCCTTCATCTGCTGCTATGTTTAATATCCGTTTCTTCAAGTCTGAGTATCTACGATCTCTCCGAACACTTCATCTATTCTGCTCAGTCCAGAAGTATTGGTGCACTGTTTTCGAATCGACGAATTTCTGCAACATGGTGGCCGCATCATTCCCTAACTGCGATTGCCTGTGCTGTGTCACGCATGGTTGACAGAAGAAGTGTGAACAGACACATTCGCCTTCATCTGGTTCCACAATGAAATCTTGCTGTGACACTGATCCACTGATCCCAAGAATCGGCACTGAATTTGTCAAAGTTTCTGTTGCACTTGCAAGGGCGGGAAGAGAGGCACCGTCTTGTTGATTTGAGTTGACGGTCGGAATGATGTCATCTTGAATTGGAACTTTCTTCATGATTAAGTCACCAATGTCATAATCAAAATGACCAAAGCCTCTCTGATAATCTCGAACAACTCTCTGTCAAATTAATTGTCACATGAAAATGTTTTGTTGCTCATATTATGGACAAGTGAACTTGCAAAGTTCTTGACAGTTGTAAGCAGCAATCCCACTCGGAAAACAAAAAGTTTTAGAAAGTAATAAAAGAAATCCGCAGTGCAATCCAAAAGTACCGTGTACAGGATGTTTTTTAATAATAGTATTCACGGAAACATTTCTTTTCGAAAAATGCAAATTAAGGTCATAATCCTGATCTTGCGGGTGGGTACTTCGAAGGAATCTTGTGATGATGCCGTGAATGAGGTTGTGTGTATTACATTGTTGAAATCAACTGACCAGGAAGATTGTTAAGACATTGACATTATGACAGATGCTGGTCATGGATGGAGAAAAAATGCATCTGAGAGAAACATTGTTGCATTGAGCTTCGAGACCAAACATGTGTTCATGCCGAAGTAGTTACAAGAGAGGATGATCTGTGTAGCCAGCAACCTGAATAAGCTTGATGAAAATAATCCATGTTGACGCACATGACAGAATTAATGAGAAGAAATATTTATCTGAACATCGTTTCGAAGTATGTGAGGCTGTACGTGTTTTATCTCCATTCCGACGTGAAATAATATCAAGTTTTTGTGTCTCAATTTTTCCTGCCGCTGTGGAAAATTGTGCACTGATCTAATAAAAGAAATACAACTTGCATGGGGGACGACTGCTCACTGTCACAGCTTCAAAAGCCTTCACATTAAAGCACATCATATCTATCAATGTGAGGCAAGAGTATGGGGAGGACCGCGCACTGTCACAGCTTCAGGAACCTTCACAATAAAGCATGGAACATCTATATCTATGAACATGATAAAGGAGCATAGGGAGGACTGCAAACACGCAGTGTCAGCTTCAAGAACTTTAACAAAGACCAAAGCACCACACATCTATCAATATAAGGCAAAGCTTGGGGGGGATAAGAGCAACAAATTGACTCAGTGCTCTAAATTAGGTGTAACAGTAAAACACTTGAGGACACAACTGAGAAAGCAATTGTGATAGATTGGTCTAGCGAACACTAACACAAAGGTCAGGACTTCTGCTGCCCAACATTGGCCTGAAATATGCCTTCACATTGTTCCTTGATTCAGTGGCTCACTATGGGTTTCCACTGTCATAAACACAACCCATGTCTTCTTATTCCTGTCACTATCCTCAATCAACATAGCTTCTATCATGAGTGAGTGAGTTAATGTTGCTTAAACCTTCAGTCAGCTAAAGTAGCAGCCATATCAGTGGCATGTAATTAATCAAGACTGGACCAGACAATCTAGGTTCTGAAAGCATGGGTAACAATCAGGGTACAATACTGATCCCCGTTTTAGTTGACACTGATAAGCAAGAGGCAGGGGAGATCTGACATGGAACACCCACAGGGTTTGGAAGGGAAAACGGATTCATCCTGGTGGAAGACCGAAAATTATTTACCAATTCTGACAGTTAAAATTACCACCCATTTTTTTGTCAAGGTGATTAAAGAGCTAGATTCCATAGACCGAGAATGAAACTCAGCTCATGGAACAAACACAAGGCCTTAAAATCAGGAATTATCTGACTATATATTTTTCTTTAAAAAAATCTACAAACATTATTAGCCATCAGGTGAAATTGGAAAGTTTAAATCAGTATTAACAATACATACCTGTCAACTCTCACACATCTCGTGTGAGTCTCACACATTTATCACCTATGTCACGCTCTCACGCAAGGTTGGGAAATTCTCACGCATTCATATAAAATGTAGATAAAAATATAGTTTTTCAGAATACATGCTCTCTAAGGCCATTAAAATGGTCTTAAAATCATTCAAAGCCAGTTTTCGCCCCCCTGCGCCCCCCACCAGGGCTTGCAGCCCCTGCACCCTAGCTTCTCACTCATTTAGACATCCAGGGGTTGACAGCTATGACAATATTGTGATCAGAAACAGAATTCTTACAACTGAGCGATACATCTAAAAGCAATACATCAGAAAGAATACTGATGTAATCCTCTGCACACTGTATATTTACCACAATGATGGAGTTCATGTGCAAGCCATTCCCTCACCACAACAGAAAACCTGACACAGGGTTACATAATCTCCTGCGTAATGCTGTTGAGATGTTTCAAATATCCAGACTCTGTCTGGCCTGTTAGTAAGGTCATGACACTGTCTGTCAAGTCATTTAACAATATTTTGAGATCAGAGCACAACATAGTTAACATGTAAAACATATTGAAGCCTTCAGTTTCTTGTCTGAGGCTGATGTATGCATCATGCAAATCATTTTCACTTGGTTAGGATCATTCATATAAATAAGTACTGTAGTCAGCACATAGCATCTTCCCTGCTTAATATTCAGTACCCACACTCAACAGAAAACATTAACATGAAAGAAACTGAAAGATATTATTCTACTTTCTTCATCACGCTAATGATTAGTCGCTGTACATTAAAGTGTATGGAATGTTAACAGACTTTCCAGTTTATTACAAAGCCATGCAAAAAGAGATATCCTTTCTGACAGCATAAGCCTATTTGTTTAGCCAGGGATCTCCTGAACCTGCGAGTCTATGTACGGCTTACATGAGAGTCCAGACAGTTCATTCCTTCTTGTGAAGTCCAGCAAAACCACAAACAAGGTCTGGTATGGAAACACTTGAGGGCTAGGCAGCCCCTAGATGGCTCATATTGATAGATCGATCTCACACGGACTTATGGCCAGTAATTGTGCCTCCGGTCAATGGATAATCACTTCCTTGGCCCTTCTAATCTACAGTCAAATCAGCCACTACAACAACAGGCTCTTCTAACTAGCTTTACTAAGTACTGCAAGAAACATGAGGTTTGTTTATTGTTAGCTTGTAACAAAAGGCACCAAGGCTGACTGTGTGTTCCATCATGAGGCAAGCAACTTTGAACGCCTGCATCCATTACATGAATCACTCACTGAGTATCAGGCAAAGGTCTCATTCTTCTCTTGATATTGAACATATCCATGATAGATTTTGCAAATGTATCATTGGATTGAACAGAAATACACCTAACATTGTACCCTGAAAAAGTGTGAAACGATGCTCTGTTAAAAAACACTTCATTATCAAAGAATGGTAAAATTCTAGCTAAGATTATTGACACAACAAAGTGACTTGATATTGAATAAAACTTACATTTTTATATCAAAAACTGAAGATGATGGTACTTGGCAGGCCTTTAACCCCCTGGATGACAGAGGGACATGTATGTCCCTCCGCTACAACCCTTACTTTAACCCCCTGGATGCCAGAGGGACATGTATGTCCCTCCTCTACAACCCTTACTTTAACCCCCTGGATGCCAGAGGGACATGTATGTCCCTCCTCTACAACCCTTACTTTAACCCCTGTGGATATTAATTGTGGATATTCCACTGTATCATTTTATGAAGATGTGAAGACGACATGGCAGGTAGGTTTTGAATCCAAAGGCCTACGATTTTGTTGAATAGTCTTGGAATTGTTTGATGGATATTTATTACCATTAAAACTTACGTCCTTATGGTCAAACGGCCCCCGTGGGTGGGTGTTTACATGACATCACCCGTTTACGCATTCACCAATGAAATTTGTGTGTTATCATGACGTCATGTTGACCTGTCAGATCACGCGTATAAGCCCCGCCCACTCAGTGCGGTAGTTCCAACCGCAGATGCCTCTTTGAGTGATGTTCAAGATTTTTGCCTTATTTAAGGAATGTGACTTTTTTAAGCCAATGGTAAGAGTTTTAAATATATTTACTGATTTCATGGTGAAGTTTTTGCAGTGAGCCAATTTCTAGACTTGCATGTAACATGTTCCAGGTGGCGGTGGACTGGCACTGTTTGGGACCGGGAATCTTCACACGTGGGCTGAGAGTCTGGAGGAAGTGTACACACGCCTCACCGACTGCCGCAAGATCAACAGGAGGAAGTACATGGATGACAGTGCATACAGGTAGGTCAACAGTGCATACAGGCAGGTCGACAGTGCATAAAGGTAGGTTGTCAGTAGATACAGGTAGGTCGACACTGCATAAAGGTAGGTCGACAGTGCGTACAGGTAGGTCGACAGTGCATAAAGGTAGGTCGACAGTGCATACAGGTAGGTTGACAGTGCATACAGGTAAGTCGACAGTGCATACAGGTAGGTTGACAGTGCATACAGGTAAGTCGACAGTGCATACAAGTAGGTTGACAGTGCATACAGGTAGGTTGACAGTGCATACAGGTAGGTTGACAGTGCATACAAGTAGGTTGACAGTGCATACAAGTAGGCCGAAAGTGCGTACAGGTAGGTCGACAGTGCATACAGGTAGGTTGACAGTGCATACAGGTAGGTTGACAGTGCATACAGGTAGGTTGACAGTAGATACAGATAGGTCAACAGTAGATACAGGTAGGTTGACAGTAGATACAGATAGGTCAACAGTAGATACAGGTAGGTTGACAGTAGATACAGATAGGTCAACAGTAGATACAGGTAGGTTGACAGTAGATACAGATAGGTCAACAGTAGATACAGGTAGGTTGACAGTAGATACAGATAGGTCAACAGTAGGTACAGGTAGGTTGACAGTAGATACAGATAGGTCAACAGTAGATACAGGTAGGTTGACAGTAGATACAGATAGGTCAACAGTAGATACAGGTGGGTTGACAGTAGATACAGGTGGGTTGACAGTAGATACAGGTAGGTTTACAGTAGATACAGGTAGGTTTACAGTAGATACAGGTGGGTTTACAGTAGATACAGGTGGGTTGACAGTAGATACAGGTAGATTTACGGTAGATACAGGTAGGTTTACAGTAGATACAGGTGGGTTTACAGTAGATACAGGTGGGTTTACAGTAGATACAGGTAGGTTTACAGTAGATACAGGTAGGTTTACAGTAGATACAGGTGGGTTTACAGTAGATACAGGTGGGTTTACAGTAGATACAGGTAGGTTTACAGTAGATACAGGTAGGTTTACAGTAGATACAGGTGGGTTTACAGTAGATACAGGTGGGTTGACAATAGATGCAGGTGGGTTAACAGTTTTGGGCTAAACATGTATAAAATAACAGATGCAACATCAACTGCATGCATTTCCTTATTGTTTTTTACTATTTCCAAATAACATTAATATTTGAGAGATCATAATACGCTTATAAGGTCATAAACACTGACATTTTAACTTGTTAAAGGCACGCTAAGTTCGTGTTAAAGGTTGCAGTATTTGACAATAATATTTCCTGGAACCAGATCAGGACTAAGCTTGTAAACGTTTATTGCAGGGCAATGCCCGCAGTGACCTGGTCCCAGGAGGGGAGCTCGTTAATTCTGCTGACAAGATTAATTTGGCCAATATGCCAGTCCTCTTTATGATCCACAGCGCTGGCCACTAGATCACAGCCAACAATATAAAATTAATGACAATCAGAGATATGCTTATGTGTGGCCATCAGTTGTGACTCAAAGACCTTGATTAAGCACATTGCCCTGAGGCCATGTACAGGGAATTCTGTAGGAATACACCAAGTTTGCTGTTTACCATGGTAGTCTTGCAATGCTAATTGAGCAGGATTGAGCTGTGTTTGGTCTTTGTGTACCTACTTGTGAGCTGGTAAGCTCATTAACTGAATCCTCCAAAGAACAAGGAGGCAATCCTTCAGGGACTGCATAGACTTAGGGGGGGAATGATGCATCTGCAAATAGTGTAATTTCATTGACCTGGAGGTGAAAAAGAACATGCAGTAAGATCATACGCATCATTGTCATCATTCATGAACATATGTCTGTCAATCTATAGTGTTGCCAGGATACAGAAAGTGTAAATCCAATCTGTAATGGGGGTGAAGCAAGCATATAGTAGTCATAGTTACTGGCTGATTTATTATATAGTGTGACACTGCCCTGCAGCTGACACTCAGGGCTGAACATGGGAGTTGTAACCCAGGATCATGTCGCCTGATGAAGCTGCATCAATCCCCCTCTGTTCCCCTTCCCTCCCCCTTCTCTCCCCCTCCTCCCCCTCCTCTTCCCCCTCCTCTCCCCCCTCCCTCCCTTCCCCTAGGTTCCCAGGCTAGGCACATGAAACAGTAATTGCAAGTCATGAACATTGAGGAGTATGTATTCACATCAACATGATATAACAATGAGAATTTCTTGTAGCAAAATGGTTATGTGGTGATTAGCTGAGTTAATCGGGACACAAGTTACCTGTAATTTCCCTATATCTTTTCTGTTTGTAATTTGACTGATTCAACTACATGATGTGGGTTTCACTGTGTACAGGTAGTACCGGGAAAGGGGAGAGGTAACGTCTCATCAGACTGTATTGACAGAGTTGGGGGAACAGATGCCTGCAAATACACTTACATGCTGAAGTAACTTCACCCTTCTCTGAATGAATGGAAGAATGGAAATAGGCAGCATGGCTTGTTGTGCACACAGTTTGTGATTTGACACTTTCTGTAGGTGTAAAACAATGTCATGACATTAACACTCTGGATGCTGAGTTTTTTTTCTGACGCACATTTTCCTAAGATTGGAAAAGTGAAGGTTGTGCAAGAATTGCCCTCACGCAGCACTGGATCTACCTCCAGCTATAGAATTACGCAGAGGTGGAGAATATTAAATTTCCTATTTGACGGTGTAAATTTAACTGCAAATATTAAACCGGTTTTAAAAACAGACACTTCTAAGTGTTGTCCGAGAATTTATTCTGTGTTATCGTACACCTATAAAAGTACTGTGCGACGATATTTTTAAATTTAGAATCTTTACGGCAACTGTGAACAAAAAAGATACTGCCTAATATCTGAACGACATAATTATTTATCAAATGGAATAATATGTGTATGTATAACGACATACATTCAACATTCGACATACAACACACGTACAAAGAAAAGGGGGGATAACTCCGCTATGCTTAGCACTAGTTTATTGTAACTCAGGTCACTTGGTGAGAATTAGATGTGGGTAAGGACAATATATTTTCATGTTGTTTTGTTCATGAGGAACCAAACTATTCCAACACAAATATCAATATTGAAACTGTATACGTTTAGTTATAAAAAAAACCCATAAGAAATCGTACTACATAAAAATAAGGTAATAGAGAAATGGATGACCCTATCTAACCTTTGTCTTTGTCCTTATATTCCAACATTCTACTGAATGTGTTAGTGTAATTTGACAAATGTTGCACCATTATTAATGGAGCACTTGCCTTATCATCAAATGTAATGAAATACCTAAAAAAAACCACCTTTCTATTTGACGTCATGGCTGGTTTTATGTCTCTGATAACGTCGGAGAAAGACGACACTGGTATTTTGATTAATACATATCTCCCCTAATGTTCGTTCATGGTTTGCAAAATCTCGATGTGTAAAACGGAATTTGACACTTCGATTAGATAGTTTATCGTGTATCTTAATTGGACAAGACGCGCACCTGTTTGGCATCAATTTACACAATGAAATACCCAAAAGAATATTTCAAAACAACCAAAATTATATTCCAAATTCAACATATATTTGTTCATTATTATGTTATTATTTCTTTTCTTCTTGTCTCAGAATTACACAATAAAAGATGCGAAGAAAGCTCTATTGGTATAGAATTATCAGGATAATCGTATAAGGTTGAACCAACGGGGTACATGGCATGGGTTTTTATTTTTTACTTTTTACGATTCCTGGAGAAATAAAGTAAACAGTTTAAATATCTTGTGATCACAATATTGAAAAAAGAATGAATCCATTGATTATGTAATGCAAAACAAGAGGAATAGTTTTTAAATTGTTTCTGACTAACGCGCACCTGGCGAATCATTAGATATCACTGCTCTGTGTATCAAACGACGTAAAAAACAATTCCAAGAATAAGACAATTCTTTCAGAAATGTGTGCATATATTTTAATGAAAAATATTATCCATTTTGTTAAAGTAATATTTTCAGTTTTAGTTATAAAATAAAATGAAACGGATATTCATAGACATTGGTTATATGAACTTATAATATTGACTATTACACATCCCAAGAAATACGTACATGCTGCAGTTACATTCACACTTCATCTTGTAACGCTTGTCCAAAGGAAAGAGATATCGTATTCAACACTATAAATTTTCCTATCAATTCTTATGTAAATAATGTTCAAACAAACAGGAGGTTATCAAAGGTTCGTTCACACATGTTGTGGCCTATATTTACGTATGAATTTGATATCATTTTGAACATTGACAAATATCCGAAGTGAAATTAATTGTGTGAAAAAATGTATAAAAGATATGCAAAATCTACATCATAACTGAAACTGTAAACAGCATGATACAATGATCGTGTGCACTTTCGTTGATTCAGGGATCGTATATACATAAATGTAACATGTAAGTCGATTCTAGGGTTATCGGAGACGTGTTGGAATGATCGTTGGTCATTTCATAAAAGACAGATACCCGTGATCACTAATATGCTATTTTTGAAATTCATTTCTCCGAGTATATATCAGAAATTTATATGTCAAAACATGCTGTAAATAACGCCGGGAGTGGAGATTTAGTAATGTGTAAAAAATGGCGACATTTACGATGTACCTAATTTTCAGAGGTCATTTTCAGTACTTTTGCTTGGCCTAAAATGCCAGTGGATGATATCACAGAACAAGGAATTCCCCACCTTATTCAAAACTGTGAAGTGTATCTGTGTGGGTGATGTATTTTGAATTTTATTCGACTTCAAAGTGAGGGTTGTAGAGGAGGGACATACATGTCCCTCTGGCATCCAGGGGGTTAAAGTGCGGGTTGTAGAGGAGGGACATACATGTCCCTCTGGCATCCAGGGGGTTAAAGTAAGGGTTGTAGAGGAGGACCATACATGTCCCTCTGGCATCCAGGGGGTTAAAGTGAGGGTTGTAGAGGAAGGACATACATGTCCCTCTGGCATCCAGGGGTTAAAGTAA